AAAACAATAAGAACAGGACACTGAAAAAAATTCATGTTGAAATAATCTCTAATGCACCAGTATTAAGAGGTGCGACCTTTAGGAGGTGATCGAGTCATGAGGGCTCTGCTGTCCTGAATGGGATGAGATGCCCTCACAGAAGGGCTTCCATCCCTTCTGCCATGTGAGGACACAGTGTTCCTCCCTTCCAGAGAATGCAGCAACAAGGTGCCGTCATGGAAGCAGAGAGCAGCCCTCGCCAGACACCAATCCGACCCATGCTTTGATCTTGGACTTCCCAGCCTCCAGAGCTGTAAAAAATACATTTCTGATCTTTATAAATGACCCAGTCTCTGGTATTTTGTTATAGCAGCACAAATAGACTAAGACCCTACCTTTAAAAGTATATATACTGTACACAGAAAAACTCTGGAGTGTTAAACACCAATGTTAATAGTAGTTATTTATGAGAATGAGGTTTGTGATTTTTTTTTCCTTTTTGCTTGTTTGTATATACTGATTTTCCTAAAATAAACAAGTAAGCATGATAACTTGTGTAACTTCTTGTTTCTGCACTACATTGCAGTACAAACCTTTTTATTTGTTTATTTTGAACAGAAATCAACCTCAAAAACTCACAGAACTGAGTTTGATCTTGAATCCAAAAAAACAAAGCCCAAACCATTCACAGGTCCCTGAACACCATCTTGTGATGGAGTTGCAATCGGAGCAACTGCATTTTCTCTTTGTCAGTCGGATCCTTGAACATGCAATGCATCGCGTGACTCTAAAGCAATGACTGAGGTTTTTTGTTGTTTTCTTTTTCCCTACAAACAACACAGAACTTGTAACTTCAGGGAGTAATGTCTTTCAAAGTTGTTCTGCTTGCATCAATTTTGGATTTCCTTTCATGAAACTGTCTTCAGAGTTGGTTTTAGTAATGCCAAAGTATATCAATTTCATCATCATTCATGAGAAACTCTTGCGTACAATCTCTCTCTTCTTTTTTATCCTTCTTTCATTGCCTTCTTTTAGCTAAGTATCACCCCTCTTTCTTAGTGTTATTTTTACTGCTATTGTGTTTGACTAAGACTTCAAGGATCTATTGTTGAAAACCTGGTGAAAAGAGTGTGGGAAAGGGTTCTGAGGCATAATAAAGCTGGGACTTGGGGAAGGGTACAGAGAGGGGGCTAGACAGTTTGAATGTGGGGCTCAAAGATAAGGTGACCATATAACTTATCACCCCATTCTGGGATACTTTCAAGTGTGAAGGGAGCATGATTGATAATCATGCCAGGTCAACTAGGAGGTATGGTCACCCGATGGGTATAGGGAACGAGCCAGGGAAGGCACTCTGTCTGTCCACTTGGGCTGCCTTGAGGGCAAGAGACGCACCAGTGTAACTGGCCAAGGGCCATAAATGTGAATTGCTGGAAGTAGAGGATGGCTTCTGTTTGAGGATGGAGCTATCATTACATTTGATCATTGGGACAGATTCATCTTTAATTTAGGGAAATCTCATTCAGTGACAAATGGTTACATTGAATTTCTTGGAAGTATTTCTAATAAGTTATTAAGATTTTATGACTATTTACTTTTGGATGTTCCTTAGAAATGAAAACATTTTCTAGGCATTGTGATGGACCCACCCGCCAACATATTTTCTGTCATCCTCTAAGACTCCACCACAACTCTGAAATTCTCACATTTCCTTCTCCCCTCAAAAGACTGACAAAAGATTCAACAACCAACAAGATCCCCCTAATTGCATGATCATTCAGTCTAAGTTGTTCTCCCATTCACTGCTGTATAGTCTATTCCTTTGTCTTGTGTTTTTCATCTGAACAAAGCTGCAAACTCATTGAGTTTGTTGGCTTTTCCACTTAAGTTGTTTATTGTGCCAAATCTCATTCCTTCCGGTGGAAATCAGCCTGTAACCCAAGTGTCCACACCATGTGTTAAGTGAGTATTGCTCTGTTTTTTAAGCCACTGTTCACACACATCTTACCGAACTCAAAAAGTAAGAAATCTATAGACTCTTTCTTTAAACAGTTTCAAAGTTAACTCTACTACCTATAAAACATACTTCTAGAAGAATGCCAGTATAGCTGAATTCATTCATTCCACAAAAATTTGCTAAATTCCTTGTATTGATAGGAGTACTAGAAGAAATCACACAGTTCCTGACCTCAAGGCTCCCATAGCCTTGTAGTAATACCAACAAACAATTTTAAAAAAATCATTGAACTGTACATTTAACACTTGTGCACTTTACTGTATATAAATTATACCTCAATAAAAATGTAAATAAAACCAAATTTGCTACATGCAATTGGCTTTTGTAGATCAAGAAAATTAATCTCTGGGTTGCTTTTTTTTTTTTTTTTGAGACAGAGTCTCGCTCTGTTGCCCAGGCTGGAGTGCTGTGGCATCAGCCTAGCTCACAGCAACCTCAAAGTCCTGGACTCAAGCGATCCTCCTGCCTCAGCCTCCCAAGGTGCTGGGACTGCAGGCATGCGCCTCCATGCCCAGATAATTTTTTCTATTTTAGTTGCCCGGCTAATTTCTTTCTATTTTTAGTAGAGATGGGGTCTCAATCTTGCTGAGGCTGGTCTCGAACCCCTGACCTCAAGCGATCCTCCCATCTCAGCCTCCCTGAGTGCTAGGATTACAGGTGTGAGCCACCACGCTCGGCCTGGATGCTCATAATGCTTTTTTTGACAAGCTACTTATTTTATATATTTATTTTTCCCTGAGTAGAATGGATTAATTACAGGTAATGACATTGGATCAGTCACCCCTGTCTTGAGCATAGGTCTTTACTGTAATCTGCTTCCAAACAATCCTAACTAATAAAATTGTGGATTTTAAGAGATGAAAAGATGCTTAGATGCTTCTTCAGGGGCTCTTAACTTTTTCTGCCACATGGATCCTTTTGAAACTCTGATGAAAGCAAAGCTATAGACCTCCTCCCCAGAAATGTACATATGCCCAAGCGTGTTGGCTTAACATACCACTGAAACCCATGCAGGGACCCACTTAGGAGCCCAAACATCTCAAATTAAGATTCCCCAGAGCTCACCCAATCCTTTTCCTCAGATGAAATAAAGGGAAAACTGCCTGTTTAGGGACCAAAGAAAGACGGAACCCATGCCTTCTGATGCTCAGACATTTATGCTGTTTACCTCATTGCTTCTTTAGATACCATTAGATTCCCTCTGTCCCAAAATCTCCATCTGTGGAGTCCCTGAGTTTAGAAGAACTTCCATACTACCTTGCATCCTACCCTTTTAATCGGAGTCACATCAGAAGCTGGTCAAAGTTTACCTTTTACTTATTGGGGAACAATAGGTACAAAGCTGAGTTCGTTCTATTAAATGGAGGCATTTATCTCTTTTTTTCTTCCTTAGAATACCTCAAAACCCAGAACTGAAGTTAAAATTAAAATGATCCAGTGTTGAAGTCTTTTCCTTCCTTTTCAGTTTCTTTGTTTTAATGAAATCAACTCTGAATTATCGACTATATTTACACTCTGAAATTTAAAACTTGGTTCTTCATTAATCTTTATAGCATTAGAAAGATTGAGGCTGGGCATAGTGGCTAATGCCTGTAATTCTAGCATTATGGGAGGCCAAGGCAGGAGAATCACTTGAGGTCAGGAGTTCCAGACCAGCCTGAGCAAGAGCCAGACTGTCTCTACAAAAAATAGAACATATTAGTCGGATGTGGTGGCATGCAGCCAGCTACTAGGGAGGCTGAGGCAGGAAGCTTTCTTAACCCCAGGAGTTTGAGGCTGCAGTGAGCTATGATGATGCCACCGCACTCTAGGCAGACGACACAGCAAGACTCTGTCTCCCCTGCCCCCACAAAAAAAGACTGAATTTATTCTTTGTTCTGTAAGCCTTTTAATGGTCCCTGACCAAACAATAAAATTCCAACCTGACCCAGAAAATTTGTGCAACTTGTGCCCACTCAGTTTTTCAATTTGGAATAGGATTCTTGCTCCCAATCCAAATAGAGAATGTGAAAAGTTAAAGTGGACCCAGAAAGCCTTTTCTTCTGTATGAAAGCCCTGATCGTAAGTAGAGTAATTAATTTTAAAAAAGGGTTCAAGCTGCAGCCTACAATTTTCTTAGGGTTTAATGTGCGCAGGATGAGGTGGAGACATTACACAGACCTGAGAATAGACATGGGACAGAAGCCACGCGTATATGCATTCTACCCATAAAGGTTTCTCTAGGTACTTGCTAGCTATTCCTCCTGCGCAATCATCTTTTGCTTTTCTACCTGCCTGGGTGAACGCTTGCATTTATTGAACACTTCGGCATATAAGCCAGCTACTGCTCTAAACGCATTACGTTATTTAATTTAATCCTCATAACAACGCTTTAAGGTAGTCTCATTACTATGCCCATTTTATAAATGAGCCAACAGGTTTTAAGGGGCCGAGAAACTTGGCTAAGGTCACATCACTTGTAAATCGCGAAATCGAGCATCAGATACAAACATATGGCTGTCCTTCCTGGGTCTGAACGCCCTACTCTGGAAAAATAAGGAAGTAGAGATACACTGAAGACTGGGAAGTACATACTGTTGGTCGGCTCCTCAGGCAAAGATTTTTCTAGATATTATATTGTTTTCATCGAAATTTCCAGCCTCTCTCGTCGATGGAAGCCAGGAGGGACATTGGGAGTGGTGAGGAAGTTTCTGGTAGGAACAAGGCTGATAGGAAGAGGCAGGCCGGGGGTGGGATGGAAGCGTGTTTTTCGGAGGGTGCCGGCTTCGGCAGGGTGAAGGCGCGAGGGCCGTCCTCCCCTCTCCGCGGCCCCTCCCCTCTCCGCGGCCCCTCCCCTCTCCGCGGCCCCTCCCCTCTCCGCGGCCCCTCCCCTCTCCGCGGCCCCGGCCTGCCTCCGGGAGCTCTGGGGCCTGCTGCGGACCGCCAGATCGCGGCAGCCCGCCCCCAGCGCCGCGCTGTCCAATCATAGACGCGACATGGCGCTCCTCCCCTCTGCTGCGGCCATATAGGCCTAGGCCTGGCGCGCCTCCGCACCGCAGTGGTCCGCGTCTCCGGCTGGGAGGCTCAGAGCTGCAGCCGCAGGAGCCGCAGCGCCTGTTGCCCCCCTCCGCCATCCGCTCCGCCATCCCCTAGGCGTTCCGTCTGCCGCACCTCACGTACGCCGCGCCGCCTCTCTGTAGTCGCCCTCGAAGCGCCATAACCGGCCTGAGCCCCCGGCCGCCTCCCTCCTCACGTCTCTCGGTGTCCTCGGCTGGCCGGAGCGATGCGGCTGGGCCCGGGGCCCGCGGCGCTGGGGCTGCTACTGCTGCTGTGCGCCGCGGCGGCCGGCGCCGGTAAGGCCGAGGAGCTGCACTACCCGCAGGGCGAGCACCGCAGCGACTACGACCGCGACACGCTGCTGGGCGTCCAGGTGAGACGGCCAGGCTGGGGGCCTGGAGGGCCTGGCCTGCACCGCCGACGCCGCGGGCTTTGTCCGGGACAAAAGGGGAGAACGGGCGAGGCCTGGCCGGGGCTGCCTGACAATGGGGGCCAGGCGGGGCAGCGCTCGCCCTCTGGGGCACCCCGGGGCCTATAAAACCTGAGGATATAGCGCGGCCGAGAGCTGGATCCCTTCTACTCTCCCGACACTGGGCGGGATCTTTGAGGGTGGGTAGGGCCTGGAGGGCAAGTGTGGGTCACCCCAAAACCTCTCGGCAAATGAGGCTTCTGGTAGCCTATTTTTCTCCACCATTTTGCCCCACTGATAGTAATGCTTGACTCTCCTGTGTTTCGTTGCCCCCCAAGGAAGAAGTTGATGAATATGTTAAACTCGGCCACGAAGAACAGGAAAAAAGACTGCGGTCGATCATAAAGAAAATTGACTTGGACTCAGATGGCTTTCTCACCGAAAGTAAGGACTGTCCTACACAACTAACAATGGAGAAATCCTTTTGTAGGAAACAAACATTTTAAGTACGAGTTTCTTTTGAATGTAGATCGCTAGTGTTCCAACAGGTTAATAAGTACTGTGAGGGGAAAAAAGGACGTGGAGAGTAGATTTTATACCTGGAAGTCTTTAGACATGGAATACCAAGTAAAACTTAGTGCTTTCTCCAGTTATATATAAACATCATTGACCCTGTAGGGTATGTGCAGTCATACCTTGAGACACCCTCTTCCTCATGTGACTTGTGTCAATGTCAACAGTATGATTCATTTTAGAGAAATATGTCCCCAAACCTTCTTAAGGCATTAAATGATTTATTGCTCTTTCGATTTCTGCTTCATTAGAATTTGAAGAATTTGCTTCTTTTTATAAGCTGGTAGAAAAAGACCTGTTGCATGTGGAATATATTTATTATAACATCATAACAAAATGTTAGAGCTGGTTGGAGCCTTAGCATAATCTTGCCCACCTCTTTGTAGAGATGAAGAAATGAAGCTCACAGGGGTAAGTGTCTTGTACAAATAAGTGGCAAAACCAGGACTAGAATTCTGCTTTTAATTTAGTTTTTAATATCCTTAAGTTTAAAAAACTTCTGAGTGGTTTTAGGTAGGTTCTCCAGTCAGAAATGAAATGCACAGGCTATTAAAAGAATGTTCTAAATAAATTGCTGTGCAACTGTCTTTCCCTGTTGTTTAAGTCAAGTGACGAACCCTGTCAACATTCCAAGTTGATCTTCAAAAAAAATTCAGAAGGTTATTACTGTGATTATAATTTAGCTATTTTGCTGTAACTCACATTTAAGTGCTGCTCAGCATCCAAGGAATGATGTTGTTGGAGAGAATTGCAAACTGGTAAGTTTAAAATGTGCTGTCAATGAAGTATTCACATTGGTACCCTCAGGAATATTAAAGTTTTTTTCTTCTACTGAAATAATAATGACAACAAAACCTTTGGATTCCAGTTATCCAACATAAGAATAAGTCCATTTTTGGTTACACTGGAGTACATACAGAACAAGTTGATTTGGAAGACTATCTGGTACCTGTTTGTCAGGGCCTAGACAAGTTAAAAAAAAAAGTTAATAGTAAGCTTTTTAAAAAATTAAAAGTTAGGAAGAAATCAGTCCAAATCTTTATTTTACAGATGAGAAAAAAGCTTGAGATGGTAAAGTACTCCCTGATGGGAAAGCTGAAGTGTGAACCCACATTTCCGATCCCTGTTCCATTTTATTTTCTACTATGCCACAATGATCTCTTTAAATGAACCAGAAGAAAGATATGTGGTTCTTAAGGAAGCCCTCATTCTCCTTGAGGACCTTAAGAGAATTTTGGTAATTTGCACTTCGAGGGTGAGGAATGGGCTGAGAGTTTCCTAAGAGATAGCAAAAGTCAGTAGGAGTTTAGGCTTTGAAGCCTAATGTGTTTGAATCTGGACTCTACTTATTAGCTGTGAAGCCTTGGACCTTTCTGAACTTTAAATTCCTCAAGTGTAAAATAGTGATGATTATAATTGCCTTGTTTTGAAGATTAGAGATAATATATTTGGAGGACCTGATGATGTAGTAATTGATCAATACATGGTTACCATGGTAGTTACTATTCTGCCCTGTTTCAGCTTTTTTATTCACTTGATTGCTCCTAAACCAATAGAGGAATACCACTCTTTAAACCAAATGGTATATTACCTTTAAACCAAGTGTATAAAGTTGATCTGGAAGTGGACATTTGAGATTTAGAAACTTTTTCCCCATGTCTTCATGAATCAAGTTTAGACAGATAGCTATTGTAAGAAGGGCATACATTGCTACTCATAATTTTGTTAAAATTTTCTCCAGATGTTTTATGACATTTTTAAAGGGAATATTCTATAACTTTTCAAACTTCAGTAGCTTGAATACCTTTTCACAATTTAGACCATATCTACTTACCATCTATTATTTCCTTAATATAGTTTTGATTCAACTCACATAAAAGCTACTTTAAAGGACAATTAAATAAATAGGTAATTATTCAAATATTTGTGTGTCCTGAGAGATTTGTAGTAGTTAGCCAAAGTTATCTGCAATGTTTTGGATAATGTTAAAAAAGTAAAGTGTTATTTTGGCCAATTGGTAATTCGTTCAACAAATACTTACGGAGCCAGGTACTTTGTAGGCATTTGGTGTACATCAGTGACCAAAACAGACCCAAACTCTCTGTACTTATGGAGCTCACATTCTATTTAGATCACATGTTATAATATTCTTAGACTCCAAACAGCTCTCCCCACCTCCTACCCCTATTTCTATTAACACTACTAGGCCAATTGTCACTCAGTATTTGCAAACATTGAAGATTTTGTCTTCTTTGAGAAAAGGTTTAGAAATCCTCAGTCTTTCACATGTAAGAATTACTATCATATTCATTTTGTTCTGGGAAATTCTCATAGGTGAACTCAGTTCATGGATTCAGATGTCTTTTAAGCATTATGCTATGCAAGAAGCGAAACAACAGTTTGTCGAATATGATAAAAACAATGATGGTAGCGTGACATGGGATGAATACAACATTCAGATGTATGATCGTGTGATTGATTTTGATGAGAATACTGCTCTGGATGATGCAGAAGAGGAGTCATTTAGGCAGGTGAGTGCAGGTGCACAAACTGTTCCTTTGGATCATATCTGTTCACTTTACTTTCCCGCGTGAATGAGCACAAGAGGGCCTGAGGTCATAGACTGGATTGCCTTGTTTCCTAGACAATCACCTGTTCCACTTCAGTGGTCATTTTGATGGTTTCCTTTCTAGCCAGATTTAGGACTCTCATTCTGGATTGCCTGAATTATACTTGCATCTGTTTTTCTCAACTGCATCATTTATTTGTCCTTATTTTCAGAGTTGCTTTTTTATGTATTTTGAATATGTATCTCAATAATTTATTTTTAACATCATTGAACAGTTTTATATAATATTTACTAAAAAGGTTATAGTGGCGCATTCTGTTTTTAAATACATACTTTTATATAACTCACTTTAAAAAATTTTAATAGTGGTAAAATATATACAGTCAGCCCTCTGTGTCTATGGGCTCCAAATCTGTGTGTTCAACCAACCTCAGATCAAAAATATTTAGAAAAAAATTACATCTGTACTCAATATGTACATTCTTTTTTCATTATTCCTTAAATAGTATAGCGTAACAACTAATTACTTAGGATTTAAATCGTAGTTGGTATTATAAGTAATCTAGAGATGATTTAAAGTATGTGGGAGGAATGTGCGTAGGTTTATATGCCATTTTATATCAGCATCCTTGGATCTTCGTATTCAAAGAAGGTCTTGGAACCAGTCCTCATGGATATTGAGGGAGGACTGTATAACAAATTTACCGTTTTAACTATGTTAAAGTATACAGTTCAGTAGTTTTAAGTGCATTCACACTGTTGTGCAATCCATCTCCCAAGCTCTTCTCATCTTGCAAAACTGAAAATCCATACTCATTAAACAATAACTCCCATCCCCTCCTCCTGCCAGCCCCAGGCAACCACTTTTCTTTCTGAATTCTCTATGAATTCGACTACTCTAGGTACCTCATCTAAGTAGAATCATACAGCATTTGTCTTTTTGTGACTGGCTTATTTTGCTTAATATAGTATCCTTAGGTTTGTCTGTGTTGTAGTGTATGTCAGAATTTCCTATCTTTTCAAGCCTGAATAATGTTCTATACAGTACTGGTTGAGTACATATAATCCAAAAATCCAAAATCTAAAATGCACCAAAATCCAAAACTTTGTGAGCACTGACACGACACTCAAAGCAAGTGCTCATTGGAGCATTTTTGGACTTTGGTTTTTGGATTAGTGATACTCAGCCAGTAGTTATAATGCAAGTATTCCAAAATTCAAAAAAATTTGAAGTCTAAAACACTCTGCTCCCAAGCATTTAGGATAAGGTATACTGAACCTGTATGTAACAAATTTTGTTTATTGATTCTTCTGTTCATGGTTGCTTCAGCCTTTTGGCTATTGTGAACAATGCTGTTATGAACATGGTGTGCAAATCTCTTTGAGATCCTGCTTTCAGTTCTTTTGGGGATGTACCCAGAAGTGGGATTGCTGGATCATGTGATAATTCTATTTTAAATTTTTTGGGAAACCACAGTACTGTTTTCCATAGTGGCCACACACTATTTAAAATAACTCATTTTTGAAGATTTAGTATCACTGTGAGTTTTATTTAATTGTGTCCCATGGTTTTTAATTTGTTGAAATATATGCTCTTAATTAAGCAGAGCTGAGGAAGAGTTTTTATTTAGGAATTAGTAGGAACTTTTCAAGACCTCTGTGAAGTCTGTTAAACTAAAAGTATATCAACACAAATGACTATAAACTTGAGAAGTTGCTATTTCAAATACTTTTGTATTTTGAAGGTAATTTTAAACAATTTACTATAGGAATTAACTCACCTTAAAAGCATCACTAGAGTTCTTCATTTAAGCCAAACCATGGTGTGATAATGACTTCCTTGCCAGGGAGCAACAAAGAAGTGAAATACATTTAAACTCTTACTAAAATTAGATTCTCATTATGTTTTTTATTTTTTTTCCATCACTTAAAAAATTTAATTACTATCTCATCAAAAAATAAGAAGTCTGTATTCTTGGGAGGGGGTGATATAATAGATGATGGTGTTGAGAAGAAAGTCTTCACTTTGAAGAGATGTATGATTCATTAATATTAACTATTTATGAACAATTCTTTTAAAAGATGTCTGGTTTTAATGCTATGTTCTCTGGTTAGTACATGTTGATTATAAGACTCTACTTTTAAAAGAATGAGTTAGATGAATCTTAATAGCCTAAAGGAATTGATGGATCCCAAAATGAACATTTTTCAATGGGAGTCCTCTTGGTTATTCTTTGACCATCTAGGAATATGTCTCTATCTTCGTGAAGTTCTAATCATACTTTTTTAGAATTTGATAAAGTAACTTCCTGCATGGGCCTGTGGTCCCAGCTACTCAGGAGGCTGAGGTGGGAGGATCCCAAAGCCCAGGAGTTCAAGGCCGGCCTGGGCAACATAGTGAGACCTTACCTCTAAAGAAAATAAAATAACCTCCTAAAAATTGGTATGGAATGTAAAGATGAACCCAGAAATGATGTGCATTATTCTTCAAAATAAAAAATAAAGAGTAGTTGTAATAGGAGTGTTCTAATGCAAAGAAATGATAAATGCTTCAGGTTATGGATACCTCAGTTACCCTGATTCAGTCATTAAACATTGTATGCTTGTATCAAAATATCACATGTATGCCCAAGATTTGTACAACTATTGTGTATCCAAAATAATTAA